CAAATGCAGATCTTTCATGTGAATTTAGACCCAATATTTACACATAATTTTGAATTTTCTTCACCGTGGGGAAGCCTTTCAATGCCTCAACAGTCTCGGACCACTAGGCGCTGACCTGTGATTCTGTATATATAAAACTAAGCTTCAAATCACTAAAAATACACTTCACTGATTTGGAATCAGTTTGTGAGGTCCTTGCCAGTTCCCACCCTTACTGTCCACAGCAAATATCTATCAGTCCAAGTTGTTTTGCATCAAATCCAACCTCCTAAGATGAGTAACTTTACTTGCATGTACAGCACACCTGGGAGATTTACCATAATGAATACCTGATGTGGTGAAGCACTTAATTCCGCCTATAAAATAACTCCCTTCCTCCTTCCTGTGGGCCCCGGCTGTTGTTTATCAAACGAGGTAACGTCCTGTCATGTGACCCCCCTCCTCCCTCCTAGAAACCCACCTGTGTGGACTTTTCTCTTAATCCCTCTCTACCCCCCCTCTTTTCTTTTCTTTTTTTTTTTTTTGCTGTGCGCTTTGAATACTTAGACTACGGAGTGTAACTAATTCTCCCACACAAGGATATTGTCTTCTCCCTATCTCTGCCTTTGTCCTTCCCTTTAAAGCTGGCTATTCACTGATTTCATTAGTTGGCGGTGTGGTGTGAGAGAGAGTTGGCTTAGGGGGGGCCTTCCCAATTAAAGGCCTTAATAGTCTATTATCATCACCTTAAATTCAACTCGGTTTTTTTACACACAAAACCAGGCTAAAGATGAATCACCAGGCCAGCGTGGAGCTTTTAAAAGTCATTCTCTGAACAATTAACTGTAATTAGGACTGATGGTTTTGCTTCAAAATGTACTGTTGTACTATTTCAATATTTCAGGGACAAATATGTGTCTTTTGACAGTTTTCTTTAATGACGAATCAGCTTTTGCATTGAAAACAACAAAAGTAATGATTGTTGTTCCTAGTGGGGGTTTAAATTGGATGTGTTTAACAGGCGGCTCTTCCTACACACATGCTGCACAGATCCTGCAGCTGACCAGGCGGCCATAGGATAAAGCTAGTCCCCTGGGAGGACCAAACCACCCTTTCTCAGACACCCATTTGTCGTAGAACCCCACCCCACCTCCTCCCTCTCCCTCCCGATGGATGACCCTGCAACCAGCAGGGGTCAGCTGCGCAGAAGGAGCCCCCCGCACCCATGCCCGAGGTCCGGAGCTGCAGCGTAAATCAGAGGCTGTTCATCGCGGGAACCCTGCCCTGCCCGAGGTCTCAGCCCAGCCTGGCACCATCTGTCCCGGGGCTCTGACGCAGAGGCAGCGCTGCCAAGGTGGGTTCCCACTGACCTGCTGCGCCCTCCAGGCCATATGGGCCAGACCTGGGACCGGAGACAGATCCATCACACTGCAGTATGGACATGCTAGAGGAGGCTTGGTGCACTGGTCTACTGTAAATTAACTCTGAATGAGCTGATACAGTGCACAACTTTAAGGAATTCCTCACAATAGAATGCAAACCATTACGTTGACAACACAAATACAAAGTGTCCACAAAAACTGGTAAATGTAAGTCAAGCTTATTAATGATATTGTAGAGCTATTTCATCAAATCACGTTGTTGTGTCCATCCCCTTGTGGAAATGACATTGATTCGCGTTTCAACAATTATTCAAGTACTGTAAAGTACTCTTAATATATTTGTGTATTTCCATTTCATGTTACTTAATACTATACCAAACACTGATCACACACATTGATTCCTCAGCATTAAAACTGTAATATATAATAATAATTCACAGGAGGCAGTTTTCTGCAAGTTGAGTACTTTTAATCTTTTTTTTGCTAATGGCACTTTTATGTACATTTTGAATGCAGAACTTTTGCTTGTAATGGAGTATTTCTACATTGTTGTATTGGTAATTTTACTTAAGAAAAGGACCAGAGTACTTCCTCCACCACTGGTCAGCATAAATGAACTAACATTTTAAACCATTCATAAACATGCCATCCTATTATGGAAAGCAATTCTTGGTTTAATAATGTACACATAACAGCTTGTGTATGTATACAATTTAATTTAGCTTTTTAATTAGATGGGGTTTATTGAGAAATAGATTCATAAATGGACTCTTTGCTATAAAAACTACCCCTTCTTATCACACTGAGCAAAAGCATCTAAATAGACTTTGATATAGTGCACAACATCTCCTGCATACGCAAGCAATAACACAGGGTGGAAAGAGTACTGTATTAATATGTAGAAGTACTGTTACTTGACAACACAGAGTATGGTAAACGAAAAACTGCCAATTTGGCTTTTAATGAAGTCGTACTGATCATCACTCTGCGAACGTTTCCTCAGAGACTGTTCCATGAAGTTAAAAACAAACTGAAGTGGACTCTCCTCCTGATTATGCCTTAATTGCACAGCTGTAGGCTACTCTCAAACTGCTGCTTTTTTTTAATGCCAAAAGTAGTACATTACCTAAGAATATGCGAGAAAAACAGCAAAAAGTGCACGGAAAAAGAAAGTCAATTAGAGTGCTCGCAATTCCACCTCTGGCCCAAACGAGTCACAAACGCTGACCTGACCGACCTTGTTATTTTGCTGAATAACTGCCACAGACTAAAAAGGTGATGTGCTACTCACACATGTAAAACAGCCTCAACCTTTTAAGTGCAAGACAAGTCTCTGCACTCCACCTCATCACCCTTGACGACTTGACGTCTTTCCCCTCTCCATCACAACAGCACCTGGAATAGTGACACATAAATCTCATCGGCAGAGACAGTCTGCGGGTCCCGGGGCAGTGCAAGCCCAGCTTATTGCTTTCTCCCACAGCCCCGACCTTGCTTCTTGCCCCCTTAGGCCTGGCTCTAATGGGCGAGCAGGGGTCATAAAGTGGTTGTGTTACTGTTTTCCTTTTTCCAAACCAGTGACACCAGTTGTTCACCCTCCTCACCGGGGCCTTTTGTGAGGCCTGACAGGCTGTCAATTCCAGGCGGAGGATGATTGTAGAAGACGACATGCGTTACCTCGAGGTCACACCACATTCCATCCACTGAAGGCCTGTCTTTATCAGCTCGTAATAACTTTGAATAGCTTTTTGCAGCAAAGCCTTACAAGTATTGCTTTGGCTCTGCGGAGTGCGTTTGGTGCCGTCTCATTCAAATCTAGACATGTTTCTTAAAAAAAATGACCTGAAGCACAGATCATTCTTGTAGATGAATGATAATTGGGGTAAGGGATCGTTGTTTGTTAGACTCCCACCAACAATTATTAACGTATATTTGTTGTCTCATCCCTCTCACAGGCTTGAGGAGTGATTTTTGGCCGTCATCAGAGTTTGAGGGGAGGACGAGAAGACCTTCACAGTGACACAAACAACCCCAAGAAACAAATAGACACCCACCCACACACACATGCAGTAAAGAGTGCGTCATTCTGAGAACAAACTGCCGAACACTTTCTACTTTTGTCCTCTGGTTTGTTCAGCCAATTACTGAAAAGCTATAATGATGATGATCCAAGCATTATAATTGAGCCACTGGTTAAAGAAATGCTTCTTTTGTAAATTAAAACATTTGACTTAGATGTTATTTCGTTTATCAAATGTATTGGGTGGTTCTCGCTCAGTAGTCCTGAGATTACTTGCAATACTTTATCAGTAGATTGTATTTTTATTAAGACTACATGTACAACCATGAGAAAATTTGACTTCTAGTTGAATAATGAAGACATCTTGTATTCATCAGCCAACTCTCTGTAATTTGTTCACATACTGCCCTCATGTGGTGAACCAGCAGTACTGACATTATTCTCCCAACCATTTCATATGTCAACTACTTTAAGCAATGGTCCCTGTCAAACATCACAAAAAGAGGTTTTGGCACAACTTGTTGAAATAATGTCTTACGATAAGATATAGTTATTTGTTATTTGAGAGGGTTTTGATATAACTGTTTTTCCCCAAACTATTATACATCATTATAATAAGGTTAAGTGATTATTTGGGCCTTATAGAAGGATGTCTATAAAAGATTACATTCAAAACATTTGACCAACAGGGTGGAAGGCATACAAGGCTTACAGACACCAAATCAGAAATGTAGATGACTCCATCTCATTTATGTTTTTAAATTAAACGCATTGAAGGCTTAAAATGTGTTTGCATTCATGGCACCCTTCGTAAGTAATCCCTTTGCTTTGAGCACAACAAATATTGCTGTTGTATTAAATCTTGAAGGGGTTAAAAGGAAAGGTTCAGGTGTGTATCAGTCTGTCTTAATACTCCCATGACCATAATGTAGAGTTGACAGTCACTACAGATAAAGATCCTGAAGACAGCGAATCATCAGCGATCAATATTATATAATAGTTACATATTGGCATGTGAGTATTGTATTTTGATAAACTGGAAAACGACGCTTTAAATTAAGGTGTGGGACCTGTTTCTTAAGACTTAAATGCAACAACAGTGCCTCATTGTTTCAGTCAGATACAGTTCACAGGTTCAAATATCTTACCATGTTAATTAGCGTTTCAGGAGACACCGCTGCCACTCACACCTTTTCAGTTGCCAACTGCGTCTGTAAAGAGTTCATGTGTAATAAATTCCTCCCTGGTTATTATTACATAAACTTTCAATTATGACTTGCAGAAATGTATATATTTTTTTAAAGAAAACTGTTTATTTTAATTCACTAGCAAAAATGCATTCTTAACCATCAAATCTTCACCTCTGGTCCGTATTAAATGCTATTACTGCTCAGACAATAGAAGCTTTTCTGACAATAAAATGACGATACACCATCAATCTGAAATCATTGAGACAGAGCTGTGAGCAGCAGCACTGATCTGGAAGGTCCTCACATGATTTCCTCTGTATTGAATTAAGAAGTGCAAAATATCTGCGACCACCTGTAGTGAAACATTTGTATCAAACATTTGTTTGACTGCACTAAATGTACCCCGAAAAAAACATTGCTGACTTAGTGTTTACAATTCTTGTTTTATTATGATAGAATAATCATATATTGAAATCTGCAACAGAACCCTGACTGCCATTACATTAATGACATTGATCTTTATACCTCTCCTACAGCATTCACTGCCTTCTTCACAGTTCAGTCCAAAAGCTTCATAGTCCACAACCCTTCACTCCCGCCCGGCCTTCAGTTTCTCCTCCACCGTGTGATCCCCCCTTGAGCCTCCCATGCAAGGTGGACTCTTAGCCAGGGAGGGGTTACTGCCCCACTGCTCAGGAGTCTTTGCCTGGATAGCCAGGGCATGAACGCAACTACTCAACTCTTCTTTCAAAGCCTCGTTCACCAGACGGTGGCGCTGTATCAACGGCAGACCATCAAACTGCGAGCTGACGACCAGGACACGGAAATGGGATTCAGAACCCGGGGGCACGGCGTGCATGTGGCTTTCATTGTGGACCTCTAAGTGGTCCGGCTTGAGTTTGTCGGTCAGTTTGGTTCTTATAGACCTCTCAACGGGCCGGCTCTGGTCTGGATCCATGTGTGGTCTGAAGTGGGCCAGAGGCCGGCTTAAGGCAAGACTGGTAGAGATGGGTCGAACACAGCGGAGGACAGTGGGAAGCATCGGAGGTTGTGGCAGAAGACCACCTATGAAAGCCAGATGGGTAGAAATACAGGCGACATGCTATTTAATGAGCGGAAAGATATTCATGTTGTGGTAGGCATACTGATGAGATAACAAGCTTTGGGGTGTATTAAAACGCTGCACTGGTATCGGCTTACTGCCTTTTATCAGCACCTGAGTTAAAGAATTGGAAACGAATTTAGAAGAGACAAAGCTGGACCAGTGCATCCCTAATGAATCACAGGTCACCTGCTGTACCAATACCTAAAACCTAATAAAGTCTCTTAAGAAGAGAATCAGCTTGTTGCGGTTTTATTGTAGTAGCCTGCTGGTCAGAGTTTAAACACAGCTCTCTGCTCGTTGTTATTTAGCATTTTTAAGTGCCATCTGAGAGCTGCTGATTGTTGGAACTAAGGTTGAATACGAAATGTTCTGTGTCAAATTGTGTGTTTAATTGTAACACTACTAAATTGACCAAGACATCACCACCTTTAACTAAAGACCTCCATAATAAACATAATTGAGACCATGTCAAAAGCTGAATCGTATAATATAAGGCAGAAATGTATTTAAATATAATGTACAGGTTAACGTTATATGTAACTGCAATGGTGCCTTATACGTTGTGACATTTAATACCGGTAATGTGCCTGTTTGGCTGATAGCTTGGTGGCTAACCATTCAAGCTAAACGTAAGCTAATTCACTGCTCGTTTGCTAGCATTAGCTGTTAGCTGCATTAGCTGCTTAGCACAATAAACACCCAAATATGTAAGAAAACTGAGAATGTAATGGCGTCTGTAACAGGTTTATAAAGGGTAATGTATCCGTCTGTGTTTATTAATACACTTAACTAAGTCATGACGCAAACGTGAAGAGTGAATTTTGTGAACTACTCACCTTGTAAGTAAAGTCAAGTTGCGTCGCTGGTACCATACGCAACATTCACCGGAAGTGACAGCACACACGCTGGGCTGTGTAGTTTTTAATGCTTTGTAGTCCTGTAAGCAGCATCGCTGGCTCTACAGGATATTTAATCGTTGTCTGATGTTAGAGAGTGGATCAGAATGAATACAAAATGACAAGTGAACAGTGGTGGAAAATTGTCTAGGTAGGGCTGTGCCACATCCAATACATTTCAGCAAAGATCCCAGTATGATTTAATGCAAAACAATTAAGGTATCAAAAACGCATTAATACTTTGCAGTTCAATATTTAACATTTATTCCAACACGAAAAAAAGCAGCATTACGGAGTAAGAGCGTGTGTGTGTGTGTGTGTGTATTCATTGTAACTTATGGTTCATTTTTAGTGCATGTCTTGAAAATCAATATAAATTATAAATAAATATAAAGCTTCAATTGAACTTTCCCAGTTTCACATCTCAACCGCACTGTAGCTTTTATTTAT